CGGGCTCGATCTTCAGGGATCTGAAGCGACGGCGGTAGGTCTCTGATGTAATTTCATATTTGGACAAGATGGCCTCCTTCACCTTGTCATAGTCCTCTGTGTCTTTCATGTCCATAGCAACATAGGCACTTCGGGCTTTGCCTGTCAACAGAGGTACCAGGCGAACAGCCCACTCTTCTTCTGGCCATCGGCAAACCTGAGCCATCCTTTCAAACGTGGTCAGGAAATGTTCAATGTCATCGTCAGGAGCCAGGGGAAGAAGCTTTGGCTCCCGGTATGGCCTGTGAGGGTAACGCGGCCCCTCCTCTTCTTCATCCTCGTACTCCTCCTCTGTTGGCATTTCTAGCGTGACTTGAACGGGCCTTGAAACCCGCTGTGGATGCGCAGATCGCTCTGGCTGCATCCTTATTAGCTGCTGCTGGAGTCGCTGGACCTGAATCTCCATGGTTTGCCAGCGCTGCTCCTGTTGGATCGCTCCGTGTTGACAGTTTTGTCTCTTATGGTCTGGGCATCAATTAGTGACTTCATCATCCCAGCCAATTCCTCCATTTTCTCTTCCACACCACTTGCCTTTGCCCCCTGGTGGTCAGCCATTGTCGTCCCAGGTTCCTCATCGGGCTCTTCAGGCATTTTTCTTCCACCTTGTCTGGTATTCATCGTACCTTCTCACTGCGGATAGGACCACTCCTGACACCAAATGTAATGTAGGTTGACCGTGAGCGGCTTGGGGTTCAGTGAGCAAGGTAAAAAAACAAATCCAGACACAGACGGTACTTGTGTCCACAGTTTACTGTTGTTTTTTCAATGATTACAAAAGTGCAAGTGCAAAAAGTGCAGGGTGCAAAACAGAGGCAGGCAGCAGTTTCCTCTCCAGCAGCAGAACACAGACTGATCTTGAAGGCGCCTTTTATGCTGGTCCTACTGATTGGATAAAACCACTATGCTAAAACAGGGATGGTTAAAATTATCATTAGCGTAAAATTAAAACCTAAACCTCCATAAAACAACCCAAAACCCAGATAACTATTAAAACCACCAACTATATACATAAAACCCTAAAACCATTACACCAATTAAATGTTAAAACCCATAAACCAATAAAATACCTAACCTAAAACCCCTGTACAAAATGTTACACGTGGTCCAGCCCGGAACCATAAAAGAGGGAGCTCGTTTCCGGGGGACTCTTTTCACACCTGGACAGAAGATAAAAAGGGAGGTAAGTAAAAGCAGATCCACCATTCATTAAACACAATAAAATACACTAAACACATCAACACTTAAAACATTCTAAAACAGATATTGCACATATTTATTGCACAAAGTCAATTTAAAATGTAATTTATTATTGTCTCCCTTTTCCTCCAGGGACAAGCAACTTCCAATTAAAGTGCTGTGCCTCAGGAATAAAAAATGGTTAAAGGAAAGCAATAAATATTTTTCAAAACCAATTGTGTGCAATTTATTTTGTGATGTGCAAATATGTTAAAAGTGCTGTGTGCTAGGAAATTGTGCTTTAGTGAAGGGTGAAGGTGCTAAGTGTGGTTCTGGGGTAACAAACCAGCCTGTTTGTTACAGGCACATTTACAAGAATGTGTGACTGATTTCATTTTAGTGCTAGAACTTTTCTGGTGGAGGATCTGCCGTGTTATTTTCCATGGAATGTTTCACAGTATGGCATTAAACTTATCTGTCACCATGGAGACAAGGTGACAACATTAGGGCGATTTGGAGATCAGGTCTGTGGATGCATTTAAAAGAAAAGTATGACTGATTTCATTTTAGTCCTATAACTTTTTCTGGTTGTGAGTTTGCCTTTGTCTTGTGTTGTCTGGAATGTTTCACAGTATGGCATTAAACTTCTATCGCCATGGAAACATCGTGACAAAACTAGGCCAAATCACAGGTCAGGCCCATGGACGCGTTTAAAAGAATATATTAATTATTTTGTATTAGTGCTATATGGCTTTTTATGGTTGTGGGTCTGTCATGTTGTTGCTTTGCCTGGAATGTTTCATAGTATGGCATTAAACTTATCTGTTGCCATGGAAACAAGTTAACAACACCTGGCCAAGTTACAGATCAGGTCTGTGGACGTGCTTACAAGAATATAGGAATTATGTATTATTAGTGCTGTAGGTTTTCTGGTGCAGGATCTGCCATGTTATTGTTTTGTCTAGAATGTTTCACAGTATGGCATTAAACTTATCTGTTGCCATGGAAACTAGGTGACAGAACTAGGCCAAGTTACAGATCAGGCCTGTTTTTTTTTTAGCAGTAGCTACAAATGACACATGTAGAAATGCACTGATCCAGCTTTTGTGGTTCCGATACCGATTCCAATACTATGGCTTTAAATGTCTACCGATACCAGTGTAAGGACAGAAAACAGACTTTATTTTTCTAAAAACTAAAATTTTATATGACAAAATGTGTTATATAGCTCTTATTTATCGCTCATGTAACTAATAAAAGTTCAATTATGATGTAGTAAGTAAATAACATTATTAAATCAGTTTTTTAGGCCCCACCAGGAAATCTGCAGAACCGATATTTTGGAGCTGATACCCAATCTTGCAAAATTTCATGGATCGGCGGAGATATGTATGACCAGTATCGGTATCGGTGCGTCCCTAGATAGACCAGTCTACAATGAATGTATAACGAGCATCTGGAAAAGCAGTACATAAAACGAAACGCATGCATACTTTTTTTTTTTTTTTTTTTGTCGTTTTAAATTTAGAAAATGAGTGTCGACCCAAAAAGCAGCGCATTTTAGCTTTGTAAGTGTGAAGTGTTTCCGACAGTCTCAAAATGGCAGCAGGCCCTTGTGAGTTTGACTAGAAGAAAAAAGGCCTGGAGCGATGCCAGTTCTGCTCAAGTATTTTTAGTTGTAGCGAAAACTTTTCTCTGTGGCGCATCAAGAGACACACACATGCAAAAGGTCTCGTCTTGGTTCTGATTATTCTTAGTGTCTTTTGATTTTGTTTTACAGTTTGTAAAATATGTAGACCTGTAGAACGGGGATTTCACAACATCAGGTGTGATCGCTAAGATAAGAAAAGAGAAAAGAGACGCCGCTATTTAACAATGACCTCAAAATTACTGACATCATCTGTAACTTACCGTATTTTTTGGACTATAAGTCGCTCCAGAGTATAAGCTTGCAACCAGCCAAAAAATGCGTAATGAATCAGAAAAAAAAATATATATATATATATAAGTCGCACTTTTTGGGAGAATTTTACTTTATAAAATAAGAGACCAGGAACCAACATTTCATCTTAAAAGTCAAGTTCTAGTAAAAACAATAGAAGAGAGAACAACAGACTGTTATCGTCACATATGAACAGTTCTTCAGATAAATATAACATAAACAACAGAACAGAACAAGTTTAACATAAATCACTAAATCCATTCAATTCTTTATCCTCGGTGTCACTTCTGAGAAACTCCGCGACCTCCAGAGGTAAACAGAGCACCACTTCCTCTTCTGTGTAGGTGTCGTTAGACTCAGCATCAGTTCCAGTTAGAATTATTCCCGCTTTTCTGAATCCCGACAGGATGGTTTCGGTGTCACTGAAGTCCAGACTTTGTCCATCCATCCAGTGACAAGTTTCTCGCTCACTCCAAACTTTCTTTCTGCTGCTCGATTACCATTTTTTGCTGCAGATTTCACTACCGTATTTTCCGGGCTATAGGGCGCGCTCTTAACCCTCAAACCGCATCAAAAAACGACCGCAATCCAGAGCGTCCTCTACACGAATTCACTCAGGTGTCCCAGCATGACTTCAGTAAACTACAAAGCCGCACCACCCGCAGAACACGCAAACACACACGGAGCAGACAGCCACACTCATCACTCCACGCCGACGAGGAACAGAACGGAGGAACGAACTGAAAAAGCGAGTGCAATGTGCCGCTTCTAGACACGACTGAACAACTGAGTCACTGCGAACACGCCGACAATCCGTTGGTCCCAGACAGCACCCTCCCTACACGCCACCACTGAACAAAGCCCAGAGTCACCGTGAACGCGCCAAACAAACAAAACCACTCGCCCATCCAACTGTTGTGTTTCGTTTAAAGTCCGGTGCGGTTTATTTGTGAAAACAGTTTGAAAATAAACCATTTAATGACAGTGTGCCTTATAATCCAGTGCGCCTAATAGCCCAGAAAATACGGTACCTGCAGTAAAATATGATTTTCTTTTTTGGAGACATTTGTGTTCAGTCTTCTCAGTCGTCTTCATATGTTTGTTTAAATGTTAAATTTTCAGTGGTACAGAAGTAACGGTGCGATCGACTGACATGATACAGACAGGACAGAGGCTCTTTCTGCAGGAGACATGCGCAGTAGAGCGAGAAGTGACAGTGGTACAGGAGGAACAGGAGCAGCAGATACTGACACACAAGACTAAAGCGCCCTCTAGAGGCTGTCAGTGTGATAATTTTAATATATAAGTTACACTGGAGTATAAGTCACAGGAAACACCCAAGCCATGAAAAAAAGTGCGACTTATAGACCGAGGACGTCGCCTGAAAATGTTGAAACCTGCTAAAAAATGGCAAACTATTACATATATTCTTTCTGTTTTGTTTGTGCTGTTGTGTTGCCATTAATATTTTACTTTAAGTTATAACGTTTTCCAGCCCCATCTCATTTCCAGACTGTAAATGATGTAATAACTAAATAATAACTTTAATACGGGAGTTTAACATCATGGGAATAAATGTAAGTGTTAATCTGTATCTATAGTTTTGGCACATTTTTGTTGGGGATGTTTTGGAGAGATTGTAAATAAGAATCTAGTGCTATTGGTTCCTAATTGAGGGATTTTCGCTTTGTGTAGGTGAAATTTTCCACGCAGTATGAAGAGGTTAATGATATATTCTGTTTTATTGTGTCTGTAAGTGAAGTATGTGATTATGTGTTGGATTTCTGTGTTATTTTGTTTTGATTTTGGATACAGTGTCTTACTTGTGTGTATCTGTGCTCAGGTGTTTCTGAAGAGCGATGACCTGTGTCTGATGGGAGGGGACCACACGAGGAGGAGGCCCACTCTGCCCTGCGCTCACATCCTGGCTCTTCACGTCCAGCAGCTGGAGATCGGAGCGTTCAAACTCACCACCGGAGCGTACAAGTGGAACAAGCTCAGGTCTCACTCAGTAACTCTCTCTTTTGTGTAGCATTTTGGATAATACTCCCTATTTCATGCAAGATGATGTAATGGGGAAAAGTCATTACTATACCTTGTTGAAATGTCATTACTGATAGCTCTATCTAACTGCGTCATTAGAGCTCATAATACTCCCTACAAAGGAAGCATGGCCAGACTGAATGGACAATCCTCAAAGGGCCCCTAAACACCAAAATCACTTTTTTCTACTGATTATCTGTGCAAATGTGGGTCTAAAATAGAAATGTAAACCTATTCCTGGTCTTATTTTGGAATTTTTGTACATATTTTTTTAAGAATCTGACTTTTTCGTCAAAATTGTGTCTGTAAGGGCCTCTTTAGGATCAACTATGGACAAGACATTTGAATTTTTGATTGGACTAATGGACGCCAATGAGTCAGACGCAGGTTATTATGTGAAGAGCGCAGACACTGGCGTCTACGGGCGGGACGTGAGGAGCCCCTCTCAGCCCCACCCCGACCCGGCACCACTGGGCATCGCCATGTCCTGCTGTGTCTGGAGAAAAGGGAAATGGCGTGATCCGAGCATAAACGGTGAAGTGCGCCGGTCTGCTTCTTGTTGGATTGTTGTGGCTGTCGGTCGGCTGTCAATCATTGCCCCAGAGCCCGCCCCACACTCGCTCCCCCCAACTCACCAGCACCGCCCACTCTGGAGGATTTTTCAGATTTTGCTTAGGGGCAGAGTAAAGTTTCAGGAGGATGTTTAAAGAAATTGTGAATTTATTAACATGGAATCTGTGTTCATGATATAATGGTCAGGTTAAAAGAAAAAGTAGACGCTTCACCTGATTTTTTAATTTATTTTTTAACAAGAAATATATTAGACCAGGGAAAACAGTGTGTTGTCAAATGTTTGTATTTAGTAATATTGTTTATTTAATGAAGTCATTATTACTATATAGTTTTATTAGGAGATATCTACGGAAGCCGCGAGGGGTCACAACAAACGCAAACACTGCAACAAATACAAACGCGACAACACAACAAAAACTCACAACAAACCAAAAAAAGTCACAACAAACCAAAAAAAGCCACAACAAACCAAAAAAAGCCACAACTGAAATGAACACATGACTCTATTTTAATGCAAACGCCGTAACAAACGCAAATGCCGGAACACATTAAAAAGCAACAACACATCTAAAAGCCACAACAGAAGTGACGGCGGGACTCTATTATTATGAATAATGATAAAACAATAAATTACTTTTACTTACGTTTCCAACTTCACCGTTCCTTTACTTTTCACGTTGTAGTTCTTCTTCTTCACTTGCCGCTTGATCGGTCCGTCGGAAAATAGAGTCCCGCGGTCACTTCCGTTGTGGCTTTTTAATGTGTTGTGACATTTACGTTTGTGTTGTGGCGTTTGTATTTGTTGCGGCGTTTGCATGAGTTTTTTGTGGCTTTTTGTTTTGTTGTCACATTTGTATTTGTTGCGGCGTTTGCGTTTGTTGTGACCCCTCTCGGCTTCCGTAGACATCGGCTCAAAATGTTCCCAAACAGGGGAAAATATTTTTTTTCTTGCTTGCTCCATTGCAAGAATCTCAAATAGAATGTACCAAACTCAAAATAACCCAACCCCACAAAATGTTTTGGGGGAATCCGTTGCGTTTCTTTGGCCCTTATGTTTCAAATCGCGCCAAATCTGCAATCTGAAGCAGTCACGTGGTACGGGCGGTTCGCGACGCTTCGAACGTCACCACATACGTCACCGATACAGGCCTCGATACGCACTTCACCAAAGCACACGGAGGACACATCACTGGCAAACATTAAACTCTTAAAGGGCCTAAATTCTGTTCAAACAAATTCTCCATTCTGAAAAATTCCCGTATGAATGTCGTCAGAATGTCATTGCCGCCGTTCTCGTAAAGCCATTAACCCCGCAATATGCTCGCAGTCCATTGCCATTATTTTCAGCCTATAATCAATATTCCGGGCTATATTTTACAGTAGATCAAATTAAACTGTAATTCCATGTCACTTCGCTGTGTCCTTGCGCATACTGCCTCATTAACTGTACATTAGCTCGTCTCCCGAACCCGCACGCTGTCTCCCTCTATGACAGAGCTGGCCCACGCTCTTCGGGGACACTTCTCCCTGTGTCCTTCTCTCCCTCCCCAATATGGCCGACAGCTGCTGGGGTCGTGGCGCGCGGTGCTGGGATGGTAATGGCACATCTGTTTGGGTTCAGCCGGTGGTGAGGAGCCAGGAGAGGCAGATGGAGACGAACACGGGAGCGAGGGCTGGGCTGGAGAAAGAGAGATTCTCGTCCAGATGTGGAGGTCGGGGTGGACGCTGTCTGGAGTTCCCGTGGACTTTTTAAATTAGGTCAAGAGACAATGCAATTAGTGCAGTCAAAACTTTTAAATGTGTAAACTTAGTAAAGCTTGTGTTAAATTTGGGCATAGCTTGACAACACCTGATCTCACTGGGAATAATGGGAGCTACAGGAAAGAGAATATGACTCCAGTACTAGGGCTGGGTATCACTGAGAAGTTGCCGATACGATTATATACCTCGATACATAGACCATGATACAATAAATATTTAAATACAGTGCACTTTCAAGTCAATACTACAATATTGGCTAAATCATGGCTGTGATACTAAAAGTCTTTGTTAAACCTTTTATTGTGCAAAGTTAAAATCAAAAACACCAATTTTAATCCTCAAAACAGTGAAAATGTCAAACGTGTCACGTAAACAAGTTTCCTTCCTCTAAACAAGCAACAAAACTGTAGCGCTGTAATAAAATTATTTAGTAAAATTTACCAAAAAACACTCTCGGCGATATATTGATACAGCAGTGCACGATATCGATACTGTATCATCATATTAAATGATACGATATATCGATATTTCTATATTTTTGCACACCTCTGTCCAGTACAAGCTATTGTTGTGTCCTTGGGCAAGAAACTTCGCCCACCTTCCCACATGTTTTGAAGTACACTGAGGGCCCATTTTACTCTATTTTCTGGTTTGTGTTATAATGTTGTTTCCTCGTCGCATTCAGACCTTGAGTTGTGTTTTGTTTTTTGTTTTGAGTTCTTCTCTGAAATGGAAGACACTCTATTTCAATTTTAGTGTTTTCAGGTCGACAGAGAACTGTGCCGGTTCCTGCGCCTAATCTCAAACCGACTGACGTGTTCACACCAAAAATCAGAGCGTTCAGGAACCGAAAAGTTAGAACCAAGTAAAACATGTTTTGTTCAACAAAACGTGATGACACACTAGAGGTCAGCAGGTTCATCCGGGTCACACACAGTAAAATCAACAAGCGAAGAAAACGTGTGTGTGGAATATGGTGGAGAAATCAAGTGACAAGGAGACTGTGCAGTCGTCAGCGGAGGAGACCAAATATTTGCTGTATCTGTGCTCGCATGGTTTAGATTGCAGATTGTTGCAGCAGAGCTTGACGCAGATAAATAATTATTTGTATGAGTACAAATATTTGCTGGTGTCGATGATGCGATCCATGATTGTTATTTTCTCGATGTGACATCGTCTTTTGTATGGCCGTGTTTTTAATTTGGCGGCAAATCCACACCCTCTGTTGATGACTCATCATGAGTTCATTTAAAGGTTGTATGGAGGATTTTTTTTTGTTTCAAATTGTCAATGATAGATTATAGAGATGCAGTAGCCTTGTAATTATGATGACCAAAAAAAAGATAATAAAAATTCATCAACTCTGGACGTGGTGGGGCTAAACATTTGCCAATAGATAACGACACTGCCTCGTTATCTGTGAGCTGACAGGCTGTCAATCAATCTCCCTACGTTTCTAGCATAACTGACTTGCCTGCGCCGCCGGTACGTGGTTTACGTACGACTGTCACGCAGTCCACAGACGCAAGACGCACAGACGCTGTTTACTCCACCAACGCAACAGTTCTTAGCGGCTTTTTTTTTACCTATATCTTCCTCGCAGTTCGCACAAAGTTTGTTGCAATGGCGACAAGAATCCAGGAGCAGTTCGCCGCAAAACAAAGTCCGTTTTTGAGGTTGCTGAAAGAAGAAGACAAGGGGAAAAGCAGCGAAGCCAAACTAAGGTGATTCTTGAAGATTCATTCCAGCGATGGCGCAACTGAAGCAGACGCAGGGTCTAAAGACTGACGCACTGGTCCACAAATTACTCCTGGACAGGAAACTTCTGCTTATTATGAAAACGTACTTTATTTCCAAGAGCGAGACAAACGTTTTTCAGGACATGAAAGCGATATCCTATGTCTGAAAACGTAATTTTCAAGGCAAAGAAAGAGTCCACTTGCTGCTGCGTGTTGTAGCTAGTTCATTCGCACGGAATCTCCGCGCACCGCTCCTCTCCCCGCTCCCTGCTCCGCTCTTCTCCCTGCTCCTCACTTCTCGTCCGCGCACGAAATGTCCTCACTTCTCCGTCTTGCCTAACCAACACTGTAGTTAGTTGTTTACAAGTCATGTGCAGCACCGGCTGTAAACAAACCTGTTTCTGGCGTAAGGATGAGGCGGGAGGAGGCGTTTCTACGTAGGAGCTGTAGGGGAGGGGGGGTGGTTTCACACATGCGCAACATTTGAAAAAGGACAAACAGTCGCTGGATTTCTCGTTCCTTGGAAAATCCTCTATACAACCTTTAACCCTCTCAGGCTCAAATTAATTTGTAGTATCAGGAAAAATCTGATATTTGGGGAAAATTATAATATGGGGTAGTAATATAATCCTGACTTTTTTTATCAGCATGGATGGGAGAAAAGGCTCCTGAGTAAAAAAAGCTCATAAAATATGGATTTAGAGTAAGTAGGTAATTGGAATTTAGCTGTTGCAAATCTGCAACACCTGCCTGGAGAGGGTTAAAAGGGTTCACCAGTGGACACTTTGGTTCCCAGTCTAAGTGGCAACAGCAACGATGTGGCTGGCCTGAAAACAGCTATAGTGATGTCATGTGGTGATACAGGAATTGCTTCACTGTGTTTTTAGACTCTGTACACCTTCATTAGAATAATTTGGATAATTTCACCCCTGGAATTGCTAAACTCTCCTGAACAAAACGTAAAAGAGAGCTGCTGACTTGAAAACTACAGCTTCATGACATCAGAAGTTGAAGCAGAGCATTTTGAGCTTTGGAAATATACGCAGACAAATAATAAAGCTTTACTCAAACATGTGTGAATGAAACAAAACACAACTCCAGGTCTGTTTTTGACTAGGGAACATTATAACATGGCATAAAGCTCACATGGGTCAATTTTGTGTACCGTATTTTCCGTATAGCCCGGAAAATACGATAAATGGTTTGAACATGGGTCATTCACCGGTGAGCACTTTGGTTCCCAGTGTAATTGCCAACGATCTGACAGGCCTGAAAACCGCTATAGTGATGTCATGTGGTGATGTCATGTGGTGATACAGGAATTGCTTGTGTTTTTAAACTCTGTACACCTTCACTGGAATCAAGCGGCCTGAAGGGACCCTAACCCTAACCCTCTATTTATTTTATTTATTAAATGTTTTTTTATTGGTATGGATGTGAGGATGTGTCTATATTTGTTCATTTTTACTGCTACAGATTTGCTCTATCAGAGTTTTGTTGTATTTCATGCAATGACAGTAAATAAATCTAAATTTGGATAATTTCAGCCCTGGAATTGCTAAACTTTCCTGAACAAAAGGTAAAAAGAGCTGTTAACTTGAAAACTACAGCTTCATGACATCACAAGGTGGAGTAGAGCATTTTGAGCTTTGTAAATGTAGACAGACTAATAATAAATGATTAGTCAAACATGTGTGAATGAAACAAAACACAACTTGAGGTATGTTTTTGACAAGAGAAGAACATTATAACATGGCATAAAGCTCAAAGAGTCAATTTTGTGTAATAGAGGACGTTTAAGAATGAGTGTGTTTGTGTATTTTGTGTGTTTAGTTTTCTCAGATTTTGCGAGGTTGGTTGATACATCGTTTGCCCTCTTTCGTGTTCTGATTTGCACAATGTTTTTGACAATGAATTTACTTCAGATGCCCTTTCTTGGCTTTAAAAAATAAAGTGTGCGCTGGATTTGACCTTATAACTTTTTGTTGTTTCCAAATAACAAAGAAACAGAGTCAGAATATTAAACTGTATTTTCTATTGTATTTCATCCTTATTAAACAACACCAACAGCGTTTGTCCTTCTGGTTTTCTTCCCTTCAGGAGGATAGCGAAGGTGGTGAGCCAGATCCACGCGTTCCAGGAGGCCGTGTTTCCCTACAGCTCGGACCGGGACCTCCAGTCGTACCTGCGGGTCCGGATCGCGCGCATGGGCTCCGCGGACATCCACCAGCTGGCCTCGGGAAACCAGGCCAACTTCCAGCAGACCAGCGAGCGCCAAACACGGAGGATCCACGACACGCTGCGGAGGGTCAAGGCCAGCTTCCAGTGAGCTCTGCCCCGAAACGAGAGCTCCGACGGCGGCGGGGCAAGAGCGTACAGCTGCAGCCTCTGGACCCGAACCTCCAGACTGGACCTGCGCAGACCAGAGAACTATTTTAACAAGTGCTTGTTTTGAAACGCACTTACACAGAGACTGTATTCTAAGATTGCACATTATATATATTTTGCTGAACATGTGTTTTGAGAAATGGTACAAGTTGAAAATACACTCTATATTGTGTTCAAAAGTATTTTTATTTTACCAGGAAAGTAAGAACTTGATTTATATTTGAGTCCTGCCCCATAGGTAACTCACTGGAGCAACAAAAGCACCCAAAACTTTGCAAACTTTGGCCCAACCCAGCCCAGGAATCAAACTTCAAAACCATATAAGGTTACGTTCAGACTGCAGCCTGAAGTGACCCAAATCAGATTTTTTTGCAACCTGTATCTGATCTTTTAATGACAGTCTGAACGACACAGATCTGATTTTTTTTCAAATGCGACCCAGGACACTTGGATATGTGCTCCTAAAACCGATACATATCCGATCTTTTGACATGCGACTTCAGTCTGAACGGCCAGGTCACATTCATCCCACCTACACGTCAGGCTCGGAGTCTAGTCAATGGAGGGAAAGCGAGGTTAACGAGTTAATTAATATTTTCGAGGATTGCTGTATTCAGGCCAAATTGGAGGAGCCTTATTGGAACTGGGCAGTTTTTGAAATGATTGCCGAAGAAATGTCCGAGCGCGGCTACAGGCGGTCCTGGCTCCAATGTCAACGAAAAAATAAAGAGCCTGCGAGCCAAATACAAAGAGGCTAAAGACTCATACAAATGAAGCGGCCGTGGACGTGTAACCTGTCTGTTTTACAAAGAACTGGACCATATTTGGTGGTGTGTGACATCGTTGTGTCCTCCAATGCACATGCGGGACACTTTAGGGGCGTTTAACTTTCACACTGGAGATCACAGACCAGTCGCATTTAAATGGAAATGTGAACGACCTCGCGAAAAAGTCAGATTTCACAAATAAAATTGAGCATTAAAGGTTGTATGGAGGATTTTTTGTTTGTTTCAAATTGTCAGTGAAAGTTTAAAACACCATTACAGAGACGCAGCAGCCTTGGAATTATGATGACCAAAAAAAAAAGAAAGAAAATCTATCAACTGTGGACGTGTTGAGGCCAGATAAACATCAGCCAATAGAAAACGAGGCTGCCTCATTTTCTATTGGCTGTCAGGTTGTCATTCAAACTCCCTACGTTTCTAAGGTAACTATGCAGCGGGTCTTAGAGGCTTTTCCTAATTGTGGCTCTCTCGCAGTTCGCATAAAGTTTGTTGCAATGGCGGACGAGAATCCACGACCAGTTCGCCGCAAAAGAAAGTCGTTTTTTTGACGTCGGTGAAAGAAGGAGAAAGGAGAAAAGGAATGAAGACAAACTGAGGTGATTCTTGGAGATTCCTTCCAGCGACTGAAGCAGACGAAGGGTCTAAAAACTGAGGTGTCGGTCTCTAAATTATTTCTAGAGGGACCTGTGGAGGAGGAAGGTGGTGTCACGCATGCACTACATTTTAAAAAGGACTGTCGCTGGATTTCTCTTTCCTTAAAAAAAATCCTCTATACAACCTTTAAGCCCTGCAGTCTGAACATAGCCCGAGCCACCATGCCACCAGATAAGAGTATCCACGATAAGTAAACATGTTTTTGTACGTGGTTTGTTACATTGGTGGTTTTCTGATTCTATCCGGTTGATACTTTGCAGTGATGTCATGCTGGGGGTGTTCTACATGTATGTCTATGGTGGAATGTTCAGAAGTTTCCATGCTGACACAATGCACATATTAGCAAAGACTGTCAAAAAGATTTAAAACTCAAGAAAAAATACAAAATGGATTCAAATGGTACATTTTCAGGAGCCTGTGATCAATGCGAGCGTTCATTTGTTTTTGATTATTTTTTTTAGGCTTGTGACTGTAATTTTATATACGAGAAGTAGTTTACCAACACAGATCAGCTCAGTTATTATAGTTCCAACTCACTGTTTTACTTATGGTCAGATTGTGTTCAAATAAAGCTCAGATTAAAGTCTAACTAAGTATCAGAGCTTCAGACAGAGCATTGTCTACAATTAGCATCACACCCCCAGGGAATATTGATGACATCAGCCGCAAAGTATCAGTAGAACTTTGTCATGTTTAGGGTGACCAGATGTCCCTATTTACCCAGGACAGTCCCACTTTTGAGCACTGTGTCCCCTGTCCCAGCAGATTTATACAAAACCAGTGATTTGTCCCAGTTTTACATTAGAAATGCCCCAAATGTCCCTATTTTGGACCAATTTGATCTCCACGAGAACTATACTAAGATTAAACCAGGACTACATCAGGTCTAAACCAGGTCTAAAACACGATTATCACAATTTTTGACTAATCTCGTCCCTGCCAACAGTAAAGAGGAGCATAAATTGTCATTTGTTACACCAAAATACAGAGAACCGTGTCTGCAAATGACCATAAAGCAGAAAAATGCAGCGACAGAAGCCCCTCAGATTATGACAATTTTACACGCTGCTTTCACAAATTTATTTATACACTGCAAAAACAAAATGTAGCCAAGTTAAGATGACTTGAATTAAGAGAGTTTTATCATGATTCAAGTACTTAAAATAAGAAAAACAACAACTTTTTGCACTTAAAATAAGAAACAAAATCTAATGTTGTGTGAATTAAGAAAAACACTCTTGTTGCATTGGTAGATAATTTTACTTGTCAAGCTGAATAAAGTAAAATGTTCTTAATTTAAGTCATTTTAACTTAACGTATTTTTCAGACTATAAGTCGCTCTGGAGTATAAGTCGCACCAGCCAAAAAATGCATAATGAAGAAGAAAAAAAAACATAAGTTACACTGGACTAAAAGTTGCACTTTTTGGGGGAAATTTATTTTATAAAATCAGGGACCAGGAACCAACATTTTATCTTGAAAGGCAAGTTACAGTAAAAAACAATAGAACAGAGAACAACAGGCTGAAGATGCGTTAATATGTTAACGTAACATTAACAATTATTCAGATAACTATAGCATAAACAACAGAATATAAGTTTACCAAACTCTCCATCTCACTCCAAATCACTAAATCCATTGAATCCATTGAATTCTTCATCCTCATTGTCACTCCTAGCAACTTCGGTCATCACTGAAGTCCATGCTTCCAGGAAAGTTTGATGGTCCACCTAGGTTGTTGTGAAGCTGTGTTCTCCATCCCCGCTTTCTGCCAGTTCCTCACAAGTTTCTCACTCACTCCAAACTTTCTTTCTGTTGTTTTGTTGTTTCTTTTCTGCTGCATATTTCACTACTTGCAGCAGGACAGTGGCTTTTTCTACAGGAGATATGCACAAGCCTAGAGCCTCTTGCGGCTGTCAAACTGAAAATTTTAATATATAAGTCGCACTGGAGTATAAGTCACAGGAAACACCCAAACCATGAAATAAGAGCGACTTATAGTCTGAATAATACAGTAGCTAGATATTGTTTTGTTTTGTTTTTTTTTCTTCCCCAGTGTACCAACAATCCCAACCCAGGTGTGTCCCAGTTTACAACTTTGAAAGTCTGGTCACTCTAGTCATGTCATCCTGATAACCATCAATACAAGCTTAAAAAATGTATTGTAATAAAACAAAATTAGACTACTTTACTGTTACTTGGTGTTATATTGACTACTACAGTGAGACACAAAAACTTTAAAATACATTTCAGTGTGGGTTTACATCAGTGTCTTGCCCAGGGACCCAACAGAAGCAGGTGGGTGAGGTCTGAACCGGCGAATCTCCTGTGCTCGTTCTTTAAGTTACCTCTACAGAACTCAGGACCGGCTCAAAACGAAACCCCGGCGTTTGACCTTGTGGACAGATTTAAGTTCAGCAAAAGTCTTCGTTTGTCTGTTTACCCGGTACAGCAGCCTCCAGGAACCAAAACAGTGGAACCAAAACAAGCTGACAAGTCAAAATGGGACGTGAATTCTAACTACAGCTGGATCTATTCATCTGAAAAAAAGAAATCACAATATAAACCTGTTTCTTTCTTTTGCTATATTTATTTTGGTATCACAAAGGTCCTGTAATGCATAAAATTGATTCTTGTGAACTTTAAGCCTGTTTCTTCCTCAAAAACATGCCTGGATTTGTGTTTGTGTTGTGTTTTGTTTCATCCACGCATGTCGTCAAAGCTCGAAACGCTCTGTTCAACATTGTGATGTCATGCAGTGGTAGTTTACAAGCTACAACAGCTTCGTTTCAGCTTTCGTTCAGCAGAGGTTGGAAACTCCAGGGCTGAAATGATCCAAATGACTCAGTACTGAAGGTTTATGATGTTTAAAAGGACAGAAACCCAACAACTTGACAAAACTGCAAAAGTAGATACATTATAAAGTGCAGATGGGATTATTGTGCATCAATGCAAAGTCCAGTTCACAGTTATGGCAGATATGGAAAGTTGGAAAATGGAGAGAAATACATGTATATACTTACACATACATATATACAGTGTTGGGAAAGTTACTTTTAAAATGTATTCCCCTACAGATTACAGATTACATACCCCAGAATGTAGTTTGTAACGTAATCCATTAAATTATTTAAAGTGAGTAACTTAATCTGAATACTTTGGATTACTTGATTTGCTGTAGAGAAGCAAAGACTCGGATATAGTAAGATAAGATAAGATAAGATGTTTTGTTTGCTAAAAGACAATGAAAAGCCCAGACTTTACTTAACCATATTAAAAATATTATTGATAGAAGAAGAGACACGTCCGTGTAGCATTTAGTCCTGTTAAATCCTGGTTTAGACCTGGTTTAGATCTAGTTTAGGTCTAGTTTAGACCTAGTTTTAGTCCTGTTTTTGTCCTGGTTTAGCTCTAGTTTAGACCTGATTTAGTTTCCGGCAATGAGTGGAATTACGTAAAAAAACTGGAAAATACCGCCGTGTAATCCATTTATTTCAACAAAGTAACTGTAATCCAATTACCACTCACTGAAACAGTAACTGTAACTGAATACAGTTACTCATAATTTGTACTCTGATTACGTAACTCCGGTACATGTAATCTGTTACTCCCCAACACTGCATATATACACATACACACATACATACATAATTTAAAGCCAAAACGAAACAAAAACAAAGTTGATATACATGTAAACTTAGGCCCCATCCACACTAGTACGCATTCGAGTCATTTTCTATGTGGATGCAGTGTTCGTTCACATTAAACCGACTGAAAACGGCTCCAGAGACGGAACGATCTGGTGCCGCCAGCTCCCACGAATTCATCTGATCCAGCACTGTGTGGACGCCTGAAAACGCTGATACACTGATGTAGGTTTATGCGCCGAAAAGTAATTCACAGCCAAAACGCTAAGAGGCTAAAATATATGTCCATTCCTAAATACGGTCTATGTGCACAACCTGCAGACGTATAATCTCTGAAAAGTTTAACATGAACCATCTCCAACACGATAGAAACACAGGACAGACTCACCATCAGCAGAACATCCCTCTGTCACAGAAAAAACACTCATATTCCACTGAGTCGTGTCCTTTAGTCCGACAGAAGCTGAACCGCATCAGCGACACAATAGTGAGATGTTTTTTAGCGCTCAGTTTATGCAAAAGAGCCCTGTGGTTTTAAGTTTTATTTGCGTAAAACATAAATATATGCTCAAAGCTGTGGATTGCAGATACAGAAACGACATGTCTCTGATACGGCGATACGATGATTTATTTTACTATAAACATAAACTTAAATTGAGGCAGATATTGCATACTAAGATATAAATACAAGAAACTGAGGTGTGGTTAAAAATAAAGACATAAAAAAACCATAAAAGACAGTGGAGCACTTCCTGTATTACCACATGACATCACAAAGTGGAACAGAGTGTTTTGAGTGAGTGTTAAACGTGTGAATGAAACAACAAAAACTCACACAACTCTTGTTTATATTTTTGATGAGGAAATGACATAACGTAGATCAAAAATCGCGTATTTAAGGCTATTCAAGTGTAGTTGTTAAACCGTTGCCATGGTTTTTAACAACAACAAACAGCAAATATGCTCTTTGCTTTGACAGTTTTATTGGCTTACTCTTGCTTTTGTGAACTTGAATAAATTGTATACATGCATGATTTAGTCCAGCCTGCAAACCTGGAGATACTGGAGCAAGAAAAAGAAAAAATACCCAAGTAAAAGTAAAAGTATCACATGGAAATTTGACTTAAGTAGAAAGTATTAAAGTACCTGTAAAAATGTACTTTAAGAGTAAAAAGTAAAAGTATTTCACGCGGATTTTTTGATCTTATAAATCTTCAAATGCAGTGATTTTGATTAAGATTTGTACAGATTTTATTTTTATTTTTTCAGTCAAAACATCTGAATCAGTACTTTGTTTCTAGTTGTTTTTCTTTGTATATTTTGTTTGCTCAAACCAGAGGTGGGGACTTGTGAGTCATGACTTGGACTTGAGTCAGACTTGAGTCACTATTTTTAGGACTTGAGACTTGACTTGATAAAATGGACTCAGACTTGGGACTCAGGGCAGCCGCGGGGTCTTAATAGTCTTAAAAAGGTCTTAAATTTCATGTTCTTAAATTTCTGCTGCAGTGCGATGTTAAAACTTTGGTTTCTGGCGTAGCAGCAATGAGTAAACAACCAGTAGAGTGGAGGAAGACGTTGGATGGATCATGGGGAAGTGTAGGTTTAATCCACAGTGGCTCTTAGATTCTAGATATAGTCCGATAGTTGGTTGGTCATTATTAGAACTGGATCTGGTGTTTTCCGCCTGCATAATGGGTGCAATGTTGGTCTTAATTTTCATTTAAGTGGTGTTTAAAAAGTCTTGAGTTTGGGGAAGTTAAAGGTTGTATGGAGGATTTTTTTTTGTTTCAAATTGTCAATGAAAGTTTAAAATACCATTACAGAGACGCAGCAGCCTTGTAATTATGATGACCAAAACAAAAAGAATGAAAATCTATCAACTGTGGACATGGTGGGGCCAGATAAACATCAGCCAATAGATAACGAGGCCCCCTCTTTATCTATTGGCTGTTAGGTTGTCAGTCAAACTCCATTATGTTTCTAGTGTAACTGACTCGCCGACGCGCTGGGATTACGTGGTTTATGCAGCGGTTCTTAGAGGCTTTTTCAAACTGCCGCTTCCTCGCAATTCGCACAAAGTTTGTTTCAATGGCGGACGAGAATTCACGACCGGTTCGCCGCAAAAGAAAGTCCGTTTTTGAGGTCGCTGAAAGAAGAAGAGGAGGGGAGCGAAGCCAAACTGAGGTGATTCTTGGAGATTCCTTCCAACGATTGCACGACTGAAGCCGACTAAGGGTCTAAATACTCACGTGTCGGTCACTGAATTATTTCTAGACAGGTCACTTTAACACTGGCTGTAAACAAACGTGATTTCTAGAGTTAGGAAGCGGGAGGAGATGTTTTTAGTGAGGTGCGGAGGAGGAAGCTGGTGTCACGCATGCACAACATTTGTAAAAGGCCTGTCGCTGTATTTCTCTTCCCTTAAAAAATCCTCTATACAACCTTTAACCCTGGGACTTGACTTGAACTTGAAGGTCAATGACTTGGGACTTGAGAAGTATTTTTAAATCTTAATTCATTCTATTCTGACCATAATGATTCTCTCTAAGATCTTGTCAAGACTTTTAAAAAGGAAACATTAGCATTTCTAGACTTTTATATACTCTATAAATACTCATATATAAATATACTATGTTTTTGTAAGTACAATTTATCTTAAAATTCATATAACTTGCAAAAATCTAAGCAGACGACTTGGATTTGACTTGGACTTACGGGTCAGTGACTGGAGACTCGACTTGGACTTGCTTGTATTTGACTTGGGACTTGACTCGGACTTGAGGTCGAAGAATCGAGACTTACTTGAGACTCGCAAAACAACGACTTGGTCCCACCTCTGGCTCAAGTTCTGAATTTTGTTATTTAAGTAAAAGAAGGTACAGATACCGGAGCAAAAAGAACAGGAAAATACTCAAGTAAAAGTCAAAGTATCACATTAAACTTTGACTTAAGTAGAAAGTATTAAAGCACCTGTAAAATCGTACTTTAAGAGTAAAAAATAAAAGTATTTCACGCAGGTTTTGAGGTCTTACAAAGCTTCAAATGTAGTGATTTTGATTAAGATTTGTACTGAATCACAACTGAATCAGTAATTTGTTTTTATTTGTATATTTTTGTTGCTCAAAATGCAAATGTGTTAAAAAAATAAACCCTCAGCCTTTTCAGGAGGCCTCAAACAATCATAAAAACAAAAATACTTTTACTTTTTAGTCCTTTTCAAACATGTAGTGGAGTAGAAAGCCTGAAATACCTGCTCTCAAAGTAAAGTAAAGTATCCATTTTAGTACAAATACCTACATTTTTTACTTAGGTGCAGTACTTTACTACTTCTCCTTTCCTGGTCTGGACCGGTTGGACCAGCTTCAGCTCTTGCTACACTTTATGGTTCATTGTTTCGTTCAATTTGAGGCACAGCTGTTGTTGTTTTCCGTAGCCAGAATCTGATGCGTTGCCAGACTACTAAATTGATATCTTATAATGATTTCATTTTAGCGAACAATGTGAAGTAATTGCATTTGTTATCAATCGGCCACAGTGACGGGTCCATTGTGTCAGGGCCGAAGCTCGCTATTATAGGAAAACTGATATAACATAATGAGATGACAATGTGTAAAATGTTATTTGAGAAACGATGCTCAAGTCGCTGTGTATTTTTCTATCTGGCGCCCGCTCTCCTCCGCGGCCGGGCGCTGCGAGGGGCTCCGTGGAGATGCGATGTGACGTGCTATGAAGATTTGCTTAATTTAGCCAAATAAATGAGATTTTCTAAGCCCGTGTATCGTCGGAGCCTGTTATTCTGTGTCGTT